GGCTGCCCGCATGGGCCACTCGCGGAGGGACCAATACAGAACAAAGACTGCTGGCCCTTAAATAAGATGCTACGAACAGAAGGCGCACACTGTTGCCGGGACGAGATACTGCTATCGACACGAGAGCTGTTGTCCGACAGGAGAGGGCGCTGTCGAAGACAGAAGACCAAGCTGCAGACGAGACCTGCTGCCGAGACCAAGCTGTCGGACACAAAGAAGACAAGCTGCAGACAGAACAACTTGCTGACGGACACGGGACAAGTTGAGAGACACCCGCAGAGTTTGAGGTAAAAGCAGAAACGGTTACAGTAAACTGTTCTCTGCTATCCTGTCTGTCTTGTCTTCCTAACATACAACTGAGGGACATAACAAGTGTCGACGCAGATGCTCATACAAGGTTATAACAGTCTAGCTTCTAGCACACAGCAGTAATACCTTCAGGCATGACGGGGCATTAATTTGGCAAATCGACTACTTGGAAAACAATCGTAGTCTCTAAGCGTAATGCATCATGCTGTCCGGCATCGTATGAGGCCTTAGGCGCGCCATGCGGCACAATCTCTATACCGGTGTGTAACATGGACAGACGAAGAGTTTCACATTCGGATGTAGGTAGTGAAAGAAAACCATTGCTTCACTATGCAATTGCCGGTCGGCGAGAAATTGCTTTACCAGGTAAAGGGGTGTTCCGGGTGGACATAGTGAACGCCAGTGGTGCCCAGAAGACCAATTGCCTGCCAAATGAGAACATTGGTAGGATATACTTCATTCCAGCCACTTTTTTCGGAGGGTTTTGACTCCCGTAAAGCGGAAACCAAACTCACCCGCATGATACACCGTATTGGAGACGGAAATATTAACTAAATGCATAAACCTTTGAGGCAGCATACCAAGATCCTGTTTGAGAATGAGTGGCAAGGAATAGAAACGTAGGAGTTCATTAATTTTGACTTGGCCCAGGCAGGCTGGATCCATTTTCATGAAGGCCTAAAAGGGCAAAGCACAAAATATGAACCGGATTGCAAAATCAGAAAGCATTCAGTATAAAATTATGTAAAAAGAAGTTCCTCCAACCGTTGCAGTATCTACAGCACTCTCTCTTCCCCTGAGCACGGTGTTGTCAAAAGAGACTAAAAAGGACGGGGAGTAGAATCGGGCGCAGTGACTGACAAGTCTAAACAGCTGGTCCGCGCGATCAAGAATCCACGCAGGACTGACCAGGATTTCACAATAACTAGAAAGAGACTGCAGGGATCCAAGCATAGTGGGAATGCCATAGAGATGGATCATCGCGCCTGACTCTCCGATACATCCAGACAGTTTACAAACATACGAAACAAGGTTTCGAGCGTGAATACATAGTTTCAAGCACGTTATGTGGATTAAAGTGAGGAATACGCCGAATTCCCATGCACAAGGGTTCCGCCGTATCTACCTCACTCTCACTTACCTTTCCCAGGCAATAGTAAATTCTCCCAGCCGGCTAACAATAGTGATAAAAAGATGAAGCGTTGATGGCTGACCCGGCGTCAGACAGCGCCTACGCGTGCCACCACACATCCCATGTGTGTCATTTCAAATTAACAGTGGGAATAATCGCCTACTTACAAATTTCAAGTAGTGTGAATTTCCAAAATCTTCAACCCTCACTCGTTCGCCTTCATTCTGGCTGGGGTTAATTGTACTTCTAGAAAATGCACCGCAATGAACTCACCCGAGGTTAGGGCACACTCCCCCGACGTACACGCTCTCACCC